AGTCAGGCGCTGCAGGGTCAGAGGAGAGCCTTTGGGCAGTCAGGGGCTGGAATCAGGATTTGAGCTGGCACACAGGACAATAATGTGTGTTGGGGGATTAAGGCAGGACATGCTACGCTGGTCACCCACTACCCGCCAGAAACCATGGGGGTCTAAAGAGACAGATGACAAGAAGCTTAAACTTAAGAAGCTTAAATTCAAACATACTACACACCAACCATTTTCTTAATTAATTCTTGGGTTTGTCTCCATTTTCTCTCATTGGAACATGTCTTCTTAGTCTTATTAACTATATCCCATGTTCCCATAAACATGCAAACGTAAAATCACATCAGGGAAACTCTCATAAATAGCTGTCAGTTTTAAACATTTAATATACCTAGCATCAGTCTTTTTATTTTCCCTTTAACTCTGGGCACTTGCAATCACTTCTAATAACAGTAATTTAGATGAAGAAGAATCCAGTTTTCTAATATGACATTTATACTTGCTTTGCCACTTGACTCAAAATAGCAATCCTGCAAAATAAGAAACAGTATTGTTTTCATAAACCCTAAGTGTTCAGCAAGGACACAGGCTCAAGCATTCCTAGAGTTTCTTTATAGTCTGAGCCCACGGGTCACACATGAGACTGACATCCTTTACGGGGCTGGAATACACATTTACCCTCACGATTTGACTCTGGATTTGAAGAACTGCTAAAGCGCTTTTGTCCAGCACATCAGGGTTATGGCAATGCCTCCCATCATCCATTTATATTAGATTGCAGAATCATTTCGGGTGAGGCTCTATTTGGTTAGTGGTGGTTCTCGATGAGAGGGAAAAGATATGTGACAGTTGTTTCAAAACAACACCAGGAGGACAGTTATCCTGGAGACCCAGGATGGCAGTACCATTTTTCATCTGGACCTGGAGACAATGTATTTCTCCAAAGATGGAATGATTCTATTCAAATGACATGAAAATTTCATGGCTGGAATCCTAGAAGGATGTGTGGTTTTCAATAAAATATTCATGAAAAAAGCATTGTTAAGATGATACATATCCCTTGGCATCATTGGAGCCTCTGGGTCCAGAGCTATTTGGGGACTTTTCATTTACGTGAGCCAACACGTTCTTCCTCTCTCTCTCTCTCTCTTCATCTGTACTGATTGAATTGTGTTTGCTGCCACTTACAATTTAAAGAGTTTTAACTATTACATAAATTGGAACCAGGAGTAGGGTGGTTTCCAGCAGTCCAAATCCCACAAATGTCTACCACAGAGCCACAAAGAGAACACTGTGGAAATAGGAGATATTTATGAAGAAAGGGACTTTAACATGATCTGACCCAACCATGCCATTTAATGGGTAAGTAAATGAGTCTCCAAGAAATTAAGCATCTCTCTCTCTCTCTCTCTCTCT